TATTTCCAACGCATCGGGATCCACGCATAACGACTGCAGTATTTGGTTAATATGATTTCCCGAAGTGGTAGTTAAATCTAAACGGGGGTCTTAACGTGGCGCTTACGAGTGTTATGTAAATAGGGGCACGAAACGAAAAACGGACAACGACACGGCTAACAATATGACTAACTACGAGCGTATACCTCCTGATCGAAAAATCAACCGCTTAAAGTAGATGGAAAAAGGGGGTGGTGAAAAAGATTCTTCGAAAAATTAACGACAACGCGTAGAAAGCGCCTGATCATCCTTAGGATACTCGATAGCACAGCCCATAGTCAAACTGTTGCTGATTCACGACTCGTTATGAACCGTAAAATTAAAGGACGAGAAAATGTGTACGGTGTAAATGACGAAAATGATAGGCTTCGCAATTGTAAATTAAGCTGAAATTACAGGGGGTCTAAAGGAAGACGTATGCTCGGTAATTACTTCGACGACTATATTCTTAGCTGCTAAACGTATTTATTAGTTTCCGGTGAGAGTGGATAGGAAAATTGTATTGGACGACCACCAGTGGGTTCAAGTGGCAGGGAAGGCGTTGAAGAAAAAAGAAATTGAAATTCGCGAAGCACCGTCGGCAACGAAATCCCGATGCTCCTTACAAAGCCGTTCGTCCGTATGTTGAATGCAGCACACGGTCTAACGAAGCAAGGGGTCACCCTCTGCCTAACTAACGACCTGACCACTTTAAACTGTAACTTGTTTCGAACGTGTTGGCTGGCCTACGTGGGCATCGAAACAATGCGCCTGATGGACAATACTTATTAGTTTCGGAGGTGGGCGAGCATGCTCTTCCTCTTTCTCCGCGTCGTTGTACCCCATTGTACAAGTTGAAGGTATGAAGCGAGGCAGGCGAAACGCCTACAAGTCTGACAAGGTGCCAGCGCATCACTCCTGAAGTACACGAAACCGTCTGGAAGGGAACAGCTTGGCCGAATAAAAATCCGACAACGGATTTCCCGACTCACCGCGATTAATTCAGACCCACCCCTCTACACCAAACGTAACACCGGCTTATTTGGACGGACGTTCTTGCCTCGTCGTAGCTAACGATCGGCTGTTATTTCACCAACACCGTTCACCACGCCGCGTCGTGCCATCCGAAAATTACTTATTTAATAAATCCAAGATCTGGAACGGACATCCCTCCGCTCACCCTCTTCATCGATGTATCATTAAAGAGGGATCGTTCTACTCGATCGAGCAGCTTATTGATAACCCTAATTTTATCATTAACGTGTTTAAGATTCATAGTGACGCTGTCGTGTCGGCGGGACAATGAGAGAGCGTACGCGTTCGCCGCGTCGAACGTGAACGCGAGGAATTAGGCCGGGGCACAACAAAGTCGATACCGCCGATCAATAAATCAGAGCTAGCGACCGGTTCGAGAGTGGTATTAAGGGCCGTATCGCGTTACGCGGAAAATAGGCCGTCTTAACGAATATTTGGACCGCGACCAGTCGGACCAGTCCCCGGTGGGGTCTTTTGCTAAGGACGCGTCTCCACGGTACCGATTCATGAATAAATTTTAACGAGATTGCGTGCGCGAGAGTGAAAGAGCACGCTAAGATCCGCACCCGCTTACTATGCCCCTGAACACGAACGAGATAAATCAAACTGCCTAATCAGACCGCTTCATCGAGACCACTTTTTTTGGCAACTTGTAAAAAGGAGCTGAAAGAACGGAGGAACGATAGAAGGTGGCTGGAGAAAAAATCGGGGTAAAATTGAATAATGACCGCGTGGTCGACTAGTCTGTATCTATACCATTATAATATCAAGATCGTCGAGTGAAATTATCCGTTCGTCGACGTGTAGTACCTTCATAGAAATCTGTCCGAAATATTTCACTCGCGACTTGCTGCATTAAGAAACCAGAAGGAGACTCGATAAAATCGTGTCCAAAGAAATTTATATAAGATTATCGTCGAGAGTTTGACCATCTTGTGTGGTCTAATGACGACAAACACGTAGCGACTAACCTAATCGATGCTTTTGGAGAACATTCGAGCCAATTTCGGCTACCGAGTCGCGCGACCAAGCCTAATGAATAGCGTTTAATTAAAGCCTATAAATCGGCTGGCTGGACGAGCGACCGGTGTTCGAAGCGAAACACGCGATTTCACGTTAACGAAAGCAAAGGGAATCGTCGAAAAGCTGTCGCGAAACGGTCGACAAGATTTCCAAGCATGCAATAAAATTTCAGGAATGTGTCGCGCTCGTTTAGGGACACGGGCTACGTCCGATCAAGCGGTGACTTAGAGTTCTGTTAATACCACCTCGGAATCTTGTATAAATGACACAGCTCTGGATTAATTGGAAACGTTGCTTCGACGCGACAAGACGAAATAGCGTACGCTTAACAGCCGGCGAATACTTTGGAAGAAAAGGATCGTTGGAATGTTGAACGCGATACGTGGGAAATATGGGTGGGCGCGGCTGGTATCGCGCGAAAACTTTCATAGTCCCTGTTCACGGAAATGCTGAGAATTAAATCAACGTTACGATTTATAATGGTAGACCGTCATTAATTACTTCTATCATCTTATCGGCTATTTATTTGATAACCCTCTACAAGCGAATGCACTTAATGAGCTGAGATGTTTAAGAAGTTTTTCGCCGGGCGGAAACCGGATAGAGCGTGGTTAGAAACACCTCGCCCAGTCGTAAAATCCTACACAAAGTCTCGTGGCGCGAACGTGATGACGCAATATGGCGGTCGTTCCCGAAGGGGGAAAAAACAAAAGTCCGCGAACCGAATAAATTGCATGGAAAAAGGACGCGGAGGCTCGCGGTAACCGGACATCACGATCCTGGACGTCATATAAGATCGTAGACACCGAAGAATATTTATGCAAATGAAAGCGTAAAACGCTCGCGATACAATTTACTCGGTCGTTATCGTACCGTTTTACTATCGCACGAGCAACAAGGTGAAGCAAAAAGGAGAGTCGCGAGTTGCCGAAGCGTCTCGTGGTAGCTGCGTTTAGGAAGCGACTTTTAATTGCAACTACCGTGTACGCGACCGATAACGCGAACAATTTTTTTACCATCCCACAAATTAAACATTGAATTCGTCGCGTGTTACTCGCAATCGCGTGGCAATGTAACCGCTAACTAATACGATACACACGGTCGTTCGTAAGTTCGGAATCGCAGGCTCGGTTTGTTACGAATAAAATTATCAGGTTGTAATGAAATTTCCCTCGCATATACCGTTATTCGCACCCTTCGTTGGAAAATACTATTTACACTTGTGTCCCTTGTAGAACGTATCCCTTCGCGTGCTAGTGATAATTAAACTGTCGTTCGATTTCCTCAACTTACAATTTCTTCAAAAAATTTACTTTGCACCCGGTGTTAATTATTAACATAATTTTATATTTTCTCGAGAGAAAATCGACTACGGTTAAGTACGATATGCGATAATTTACAATATGCAAGGTTGTACGTACGAGCAGATGCGCAAAAAAAGGATCTGCTTTGTAACATCGGAGGAACCCTTGCTCACCTACGCAGATAGCTGCACCCTGTAACTCTGCCGGAACGGGACTTACCCGGAACGTGTCCGGTGTGCTCGTCGAGTGACTTTTCGTTTACAAAGCAGTGATTGTCTGAACCTTTAGCCACGCTCCAGTAAACATTTTCACGAGAATCGTGCGTGGATCGCGTGGACACGGAACGAATCGTGTAACATTCTTAGACCCGCGGGAACGTAAATAGACATGGTCCGTTTTGTTATTTTCGGGATCGTCTAGTGAGGAAAAAAGTTATATTTTCGACGAGAAACAGGATGCAACGTTACATCAACGGGTTACACTCGAATCGGTGCCGAGCAAGAAATAGATGGTTGACGCGAGCGAGAAATAAAAGAAACGAAACAATTCCCGGTGGATCTACTAAACTACACTCGACAGAAGGACCCATCAAGACGAAGAATAAAACGGTGTTGTTCTAACCCAGAATCGAGCGACGACAGAATTGTTAGGTTGTTACGTATCAAATGGCCGATTTCGAAACGTGAAAAGTTCATGACATAAAAGCGTCGCAAAATAGCACTTGTGTTATATCAATTTGAAACTTGAATTTTAATGAAAATGAATGTGTAAAATTGCTATTAATATCCTGGAGGATCCAAAATGATTATAAGTGAAATTGATCCTACACCCATGGTTTGGTGTGAAATTAAAATGGCACAATGGCCAAAAGTTTGCGAAATATTTTCTTGAAAACAGAAAAAAGGAAATGATAATGTACGGGAACCACGTATCCGGTATGTCACTCCCTGGACGGCTTGCAAACGAGTCGAGGAGAATCGATTCGACACGTTCTCCGGTAGGGTTGAACGAAGAAACAGGAAGAAAAGGGAATGGTGAGAGACCCCACCCTTTTTGCGGCCTAGGGCCTCGAATGATCCTTTTTCTTTTCTAAAGCCACTGTGGATAATTTGAACCGCACCCAGGAACTCGTATTTCGAGTTTAATTCTTTCGATTCTTGTTTTTCTTTTTCTATTTCATACCCTTTCCCGAAATCGCGAAATGCATATTTAAATGTACCAAGAAGAACACAACGATTACTCGTTTCGATTAAAACAACACGGTCCTTCTAAAGTCTCCGATTTTTTATACACCATCATTGAAAAGCAATCAGTTCACAAAAGGTTCGGTTAATAACGGACCGATTCGTCACTTACATTCCACGATTTCTGATAAAGAAACACGTGTAGCGTTTCTTCGGTAGCCTATTAAAATATTTCTAAAACGGCACTTCGATTCGTGAGTGGATCAAGTGTTGCTACCAATTCGAAATAGCGATAAAAATAATGGTGCTTAAAAGGAAAGTTACTCCGCGACCCCTATCGTGAAAGTTGGAGAATAATGAAACATTTGTGAATCATTATACAACATTTTATATCGTGAATACAATAGTATAACCTCTTTTTATATTCCTCTTTATTTTTGTATATATCTGTTTAATTACTTTTCGAACGAAATATAATGGCTCTAAATGTATATGATTATAAAAGTCATATAGCACAATGCAATCAGATCGGTAAATTAGATTATTATATTGTGAAAATACGAAGATCATTTTTGAAGTAAATTTGTCAACCTTCAATCTCTAGGTTTTAATAAGTGAAATAACTTAAAAATATTTTGAAAAACTATGACATTCTTTTCTTTTAAACAGAGAAACTAAAATTTCTAGTTGCGAAAGCCAGGAAGTGATTTGTGATACATCGGACCAATCAATTGTAGAATCAGAGAACCTGCAGAGCAGGTAAAATTTGTATTAAAATTAAAATAATACCGCTAGAAAATATCTATGAAGAATTGTACTTTTCGTTTTAGTGAAGAGAATGTCTGTATTTGTCCAACAGATTCAGTATGCACTTGTGCATTAAGTGAATCAGATTCATTATGGACTTGTGCATTAAGTTTGTCAGATTCAGTATGCAGTTGTGCAATAAGTAATTTAGATTCATTCGATGAAGAACCACAGGAATGCCACGAGTAACATAATCATCCCTTATAATAAAAAAGGAACAATAAATAAAATGAGCTTACTCACTGAACCTCGTATATTTACAGAGAAAATGATGCTTTTGTTTGTGAAAATTATTCACCATATCGCGATGAAATAGACGAATCTACTTCATCTATCACCGATCAAAATTCCAAGTAACGTTTATAATTAATAAACGAATACAAAAATAAATATTAGGTTGTTAAAGATGAAATGGTGAATTGTCTATAAAATTCCTATTTTACATTTTACCTAATTACATAAAATTTACAATTCTGTTTGTTTACACTGGTCAATGCACTTTGGAAAAAAAGAAAGTCTCTCTCCGTCTGTATCGACGAACGCTTTTCACCATGCCACAAGATCCAAGAATCGGAATCTTTAGTCGACAAGCTGCTTAATCAGCTTCCTAAGTAATACTTCTGCTACGAAAATATTAACAAGTACGCGGCAGAAAATTAAAAGATCTAAAATGATGGTTATGCAGGACAGAATATAGAGAAGAATCTCGCGAATACTGGGAAATGATGTTGCATTGCGAGAGGGCAGCGTTCCGAAGGGCAGCGTCAAATTTGCCTTTGCCCTCGAGGGAGGTACGTATATCACCAGAGGAAAGCCGGCTGAATCCAAAAGCCGAGAACTCAATTAACCCGAACGGCTAGAACTCAATTACAGATGTCGGTATACGTATACGGGAACGCACGGTGGCTGGTAATTAAAAAGTTATTATGCCCAGGCTCGTTTCTACTGGCACTTGTACTCAACCGCGACGAAACAACCACCTCTCTATCAAAAGGAATTAAATCGTGCCTTTCATGTTACCTTAAGCAAGTAAGTCTTATTGCTTGATCGAAATAACGCGATGGAAACATTGATGATAAGTTAAGTACCTGTTACGCATGATTAACCCTCCACTAATTATATCCTTTTATTTTTGTTTCTATCCTATATACAACTATTGCATTGCTATTTTATAGACTTATACGTAGTGAAAAAGATAAAAAAGGTATCAGTATCTGGGAACAACTAGTACGTCTAAAGACCTTTGATCAAGTTGGTCGAAAAAATCTAATAAATAATCTTGTACGATTCCTTTGGTAAGTAAATTTTTCTATAAAGTCTGTATATATTGTTAAGAGGTCCCCGTGCAAAGTTCAGGAATTTTTAATATATGAATTAAGATAAACAGAATATTAATCATTTAGAAAGAAAGTAACGTAAATTTCAATCTAAACAAATTTTGAATTTAATAATTTCTATTATATAGGAAAGATAAAATTATAAAATACGATAGAATAAATGACATCTACTCAAACTCAGCAAGTCTTATATGCGTATCGTATATTGTAGCATACAGACTGAACTGGAATATATTTGTCTGGAAGGTTTGTCATTAACGCCAGACGAAAGCGTTCGACTCGTATCGGCGTTGTACAATTCTCGTAAAACAATGAGATACGTGTATTGTTGGCGCGCATTCGAGAAAATGGTAAACACTGGCCATCGAGTCGAATCAAAATCTTATGAGGATAAAAGTATCGAGAGATACGACTGGTTTCGTGCGATCGGTGCTTTGAAATTTCTCACGACATTGTCCGTAAACTATGCATACATAGCAACACCCACGGGGGATCTACTTATCTATCTAGCCAAGTATATCAACTACTTAATCTTTCTTTTTCCTTTCATTCATTATGATTCATCATAATTCATTGTAATTCAAAATTATAAAATATAGACATGCATAAAAATGAATACGGTTAATAATCCTTTAGAATGATGACGCCATTTTCATATTATATTTCTATATTGTATATATGATTATTTATAGTCATATTTATTATTAATCGTATTCATAAAAAGTGTAAATTATTTAAGAAACTGACTCACATTTGCTGTAACTGCAGAAAACTCGGTCCCAATTGGCACTGGCTCCAATTGTTGTGTTTGGAAGAAGACATTGTCCGAAGGAGTAATGGAGGCACGATGATCACAAACGGCGTCATACCAGAAGTTGCTTGGCAGGAGGCTCATTTTTTGGCACCGGCACTAAAAATACAATATGCTATTAGTATGAAACAAGATTAACATATTTCTGACTGAATTTGTAGGTGGCAAGTATTAATTAGTCATATTTTTTAGTTGGAATACCGAATTACGATATTCACAAATGGTTCTTTGCAAAAAGCACTCGAATACATACCTTTACACTATCGTCGAGCGTTGATCTGAGATTTCGACAACCCTGGTATCTGAATTGCACATTTAAGACACTTTATTCGTGGTACTCGAACACTTTAGGTAATAAAAGCAACGGAACAGTATATATTCTGAAATATTTATAAACTTTTATGTTAATTTATACTGTAAAACGTTTGCATCACCATCCACTTTCAATTTTTGAAACACAACTAACGCGCATGACTCACCGACGCCTCCTACAGAGTAATGGCGGAAGTAACGCTGTTTATCGATTAATGGTATTTCGATTATCAATATCGATGATCAATATTTTGAACTGCAATTTAAATTTAAAATTATGTAATTTTGTTAATCGCTTTGATTTATGTTATCATGATAAAATAGAATCAATTATAAGTTTAATTAAGTTTAAATAATAATTTAGTATTATTTAAAAATATAAATTATTTTTTTCCTGAAAAATTATAATTATGTAAACTATGTATATTTGTTTAATTTTATCCAGTATACTTGTGTCTGCAATTATGGCATAATCGTGAGGATTTGGATCATCAATTAAACAAACTGTTCATCAATTTACCATCGCTTCGAGTTTTTGAGTTTATCGGTGAAATTCGAAAACTGAAAACACTTTGCACCATGTGTTTACAGATACGATCGTGCAATTGCAGTAATTATATCACGTATATTATATGTAATAAATACTGGCAACTATTAATTGTTACATATTTCAGAGGTTCATTCTGTTGATATGCAGCTTCAGGACATTTTACATGGAGATGTAGATAAAGAAAAATGGATAAGGAGTGTAAAATGTTTGATGGTTTGTTTCAAACATGATTTTGAAAAGATGAATGTTAAATTTAATATAGATTTTTACTGCTGGTAATCAAAACTCTTGTATTGTGAAGCAACTGTAAACGTGACAATTTTATTTGTCTTAACATTAGTTTCGACAAATATTTAAAAAAGTAAATGCTTAGAAAATTCGTATTATATAAATGCAAAATAAACATTGCTATTATAGCAATTCATTCACATTTTTATATTACAAATAAATCATTTTGTAAATTTCTTAAATATATTACTATGATTCTTGTTGTTCAAATTTAGGATACTTCGCCTCAACTTCCAACCATGTAAGTGTTCCATTAGATAAATCCTTTACAACATTTGCAAGTTCGTCCAACTGCAATTAAAACAAACGATAGTTTTTATTTTTACATTTTAAAGTTTCATAATATTTACTCACATTTATTCTAACTTGGCCCATACTGTCTCGTTCTCGAAGCGTAGCGCTATGAGGCGTTTTCAGTGTATCAAAATCTATAGTAATACCAAATGGTATTGCAATTTCGTCCGTTCGCGCATATCTGCGTCCAATACTGCCTGAAGAATCGTCTACTTTGTGCGAAACATCTACTTTGGTGAGATTCTGAGCTGTAATAGTTACATAAATGTTTGAAAAATTTGGTACCCTTTAAAATAGTTTTAAAAAATAGTTCACTTACATAATTGTTTTACAAATGGCATAAAATCATCGTTGCTACTAAGTGGTAACACTGAACATTTCAAAGGAGCCACAACGGGTGGTAAGCTAAGATAAGTTCGTTTTTCATCTCCTTCCCTTGTTCTGAAGTTATGTTCAAAAATGGCATACATAATCCGACCAATACCAAATGATGGTTCAATCACAGAAGGTATAATTTCTTCTACATGTACAGTTTTCTGATATCGTTTTACTTGAATCATATCTTTTGTAATTTTTACCTCCGCATCATTAGCAAGTTTTAAATTACATTCCCCATTCTCATTAAGTTCAGTTTCCATAGAATTAATACTACTTTCATTTAATTCTGCTAATGCATCCTGTACTAGTTTACTATCTTTCTTGAATGTTTTTCCAATTAAAACTTTATTTGGTATTATTTCGCATACATCAACATTTTTTGGTGCTGACAATTTTTTCTCTGCTACTAATTTTACACCAGTGGCTTTTGTATGTTGAGTAAGATCGTAAGCAGAACGATCTGCACAACCAACACATTCAATCCAACCATAAGAAGTTAGACACTCTGCATCCCAACAATCACATGCATAATGAGCCATTTCATTTCCCATGTGTTGGCGGAAACGTAATTTTTTCGGGTCAATTCCAACTTTAATTAAAAATTGATAAATTCTACCCATAAAATATCCTAATGTTTCATTGGCTATAAGCTTTGTTGATACTGCATCACCTAAAATTACATGCTGTGCACTCTTTCCATCCATTTGATTGCATGCGGAATATAGAAGCAAAGTTAAATCTTTAACTGTTTCAAACTTGGGGTGGCTTTTGTCACTAGGATCACAAAAATGTTCTATTTCTGCCATAGTGAATTCTCTCACTCTAATTAGACCAGATCTTGGAGAAATTTCATTACGAAATGCATTTCCAATCTGAGCTGCAGCAAATGGTAATCTTTCTTGATTAAATGCAAGTAATCTCTTAAAATTTACAAAGATACCCTGAGCAGTTTCTGGCCTTAAAAATCCTTTTACAAGACCAGAAGGGCCAATTTGAGTTGCAAACATTAAGTTAAACTCTATTGGCTCTGTTAGATCATTCCCAGAGAGTGGGGACTTTATATTAAATTTAGATAAAACTGCAGCCATTTCATCTTTAGTCATTCCATCTAATTTAATAATAATATCTTTGCATTCTGCACGTGTATCTTCACTAGTTTTTTTATCACTAATAACTTTTTCTAAATGTGATTTAATTAAGTGATCTAGTCTAAAACATTCTCCACTTTTTATATCTTTAACCATTAAATCTGCAAATCTTTCAACATGTCCAGATGCTTTAAGTACAGGTTCTGGTGTTAAAATGGAACAGTCAACTTCTAGCATTTGCTCCTCCAATACGAAGAAACTCCTCCAAACATTTAATAAATTTGTTTTCAGTGCACAACCCATTGGTCCAAAATCAAATTGACCGGTAATTCCTCCATAAATTGCAAAAGATTGGTCATAGAAAAATCTACGCTTTAAAAGATCTTCCATTCTTGCTTTATCAAATATTGTTGTTTCTGAAAGGGATAACTCTTTGTCTTCCAACAATTTCTTACGAACTTTAAGTTCTGCAACTGCTTTTTTAATGTCCAGTTCTGGAGCTCCATCTGATTTGAGTTTTCGTACATAGTCACCCTTTAAAGATAAAATATAAGTAATATTAAACAAAAGACAACTGCTATAACTATAACAATATTAAACAATTAAATTATTTAATTCAACATGCATGATATCAGTGACAGTAGAAATCAATTGTTATCACAGAAACATATTGCAATGTGTCACACATGTAACTACACTTAACAATAAATAATTATCAGCCATATGGTACTTACTTGTTCCTTAACTCTTTCTCGAAGAGGAGTTAAGATCTCCTCGATCTTTGGATCCGACATATCGGGTAAAATTTGTATCTTTACTTTACGGTTCTGCTTCTTGGTACCCCAAGTATTGTAATCCCACTTGCTGGAAGTTAACCTAGTGGTGACAGTAAGTCCTCGAATAAACTGTGTAACTAAGATACTCTTGCATGTAGCATGTGCAGTTTCCCTGTAAAAAAGGTACAAGTTGCGCGAAATGAACTGCATTCGCAGCGATTTTCACTTTCTCATTCAAGAAACAATACTCGGTGCCTCTTGCTGGAAAAGAATTCCGGGTGCCGAATTCCTACAGTACAGTACTGTTGGCGGAATCATAGATCAAATTTAAATTCTTGAACCAATACAATTTCAGAAAAAATTAAGAAATATAAAGTACATGTATATTTATACATGTTTTATGACATTATTTTCCTACTACTGAAGTATAAAACATCAATATTATAAATAAAAACCATTTATTATCTATAACGATATTTGTATATTTTTTCATAAAGAATATATTTTAAAACAAATAACATTGTATGGATACAACTAAAAAATATGTAATGAAAAAATAAAAGTACACAATATGTCGCGCGTACGCAAATATATATTTATTCTTTTTTTTGTTTTATTAAATTAGTGAAATATTACTAAACTAACTTCTTTGTTATAAAAAAAACTATTTCTCTTAATTTCAAATCATTTTATTTTCTTTGTACACCATAGCACGGTTTATGGAAAAATTACAATTACAGACACATTATGTATAGAAAAAAATATGAGAAATTTTCTCCTAAGAATTTATATTAATTATAACTTTTCAATAAACCTAGCTTGTGTGATAGTGAATCACATAATGTGCTTAGAGAAGAAAGTATAATCAAGAATGTTTTCTTTGTGCTACCGTAAGGATGTTGAAATTTTTATAGGTAGACTTATTTCTTAATTACATCATTTTGACATGTAAATAATAGGTTTTTTAATTCTACGCATCTACATGCACCATATGTTATTTCCAAGTTAGATGGTTGGTCAGATGTAAGGGTAAACGTTGTTATACAAACAATTATATATATATACATATATATGCTTCAATTTCTCTGCATAACAATACTACAATCAAAAACAATCTTGATCAGTGTAAACAATTTATTTTACATAAGAGCAATACTCTGACATCAAAAAAGCGATATTAATGGATAATGTATAATAATAAATAAAGTATGAAATGTAAATAATGGGTATTTACAAGTATGTAAATGGCAAAAAAGCTATAACAGAGACAAAATAATTGTTTTATCTTTCGTAAATATAATCTCGTATGTATTTTGCAATAGATTCTGTCGCTTGTTTGCAAAATTACATCTTACGTGAATGTCGCGTCACGTAATACCTGTACACTTAGAACCTAGAAAACGTGCAACTATAACACGTACCAACATGTAAGATGCTTGTGTTTCTCGCAAGACGCAAACACGTGACAGATTCACTGAGAAACACATACTAATAGTATCCAGCATGATTGCTTACTCTCTACAATAATTCGCCTATAATATTTAAAGGGAGCACCATGATAAACACGCATGCGGCTCTATGTCCCACTTGGAAAATTGATTAAAGATCTCGTGCGCGTACTCCCAATTAACTTATGTTAACATAAATGCACAATTCCAATCCAGCACACTAACAATCTCAATTGTTACATCTCACTTCTATCAGTTTCATGTAGGATCAAAGCATAACTTTGATCCTAAATAAAAATATACAAGCAAAAATGTTACACGAGATTATGACAAAATATCACAGTTCCGAGTTTGAGAAGTCGCTTCTGAAAATCATGGCTCTCCCTATCGTTCTTTTATTCATAATCCAAGACAGTCATGAACTGTAAGACATCCTAGTTAACAACAATCCTACACTCTACTATGAGATTATCTATTTCAGAAATTGTAACGTTTAATAATAATACGTAGTCATATACAACTTGCTAAGGATGCTGTAAACTGTATACTGGCTGCTAAATGTTTCGAGTGAATACTGTACGTATAATGTATGTAAAAAGTCAGAAGTGTTACACAGATTCAGAGCATATTATATAAATGAAGCCTAATTTTACTGTTCAAAGATTAATCGTTGAAAACACGGAAACTAAACGATGCGCGATGTACAATTTACTTTTATGGAAGAGTGACGAATTATATAATAATATATAATTAAAAAGTACTATAAAAAATACATAGTACTATAGTAGAAACATTAAAAGTATTAAATTATTTTAGCAAATAATGTCCCAGATATTAGTATTTTTTAAACACTATAAATAATATTATTTCGTTATAAAATCTACATCACTCTTCTTCCATTAACATAGAGAAACAAAAATCGATAGATTTTAAAGCGATATAATATATTGCTATTTCAAATGTATATGAAATTGAAGATGGAATGCTGATGTATAAAATTTTATAAACAGTACATTTTCCTTTCTCTTACATTTTATAATCTTTCGAGTATTGTGCTTGATTAAAATGATTTCCTTCCTCTTTTTCCTCTCAGAATATAAAAATCTGATCAATGTAGCATTTAATAGCATTTATGCATAAAGTTAAGAATAGAATACAGCATTCCTTTCTTCTTTATGTTTACTTGTGTAAAAGGTACAAATTTATTTCTCATTTTATACTCCTAGTTCCGTTGATACCCATTAATCAACTTTAATTGATTGTTGTTAAAAATAAATAATTGTAAGTAATGAAAACTTTATATATATATATATATGTATATTAAAACCATTTTCAAATAATTTGATTAATTAATTGCGTATTAATTACACATTGCAAATTTATAAAATGAAAATAAAATATAATAAATGTTAATACTTTTATCAGATAATGGAATATTAAACTGAGAAATCATCTGTACACTTATGAACATTGATATATCATTTTAGTCGAATAGACGCATCGTAAAACGGTATGACAGTCAGGGCTAAATATTTTGAACATTTCAACAAATTGCACAGTTCAAAGTTAAGTGAGATTATCTCCTCTCCTTCGACATAAATTCAGTACTTACGATCGAAGTACCTGCGAAAATTGATTATCTTAATATAATACTTGTGACTAAATATTTACATCAATGCGTTTTACAGCTTCAGTCTATTAAGCTTCTGAATCGCGACAGCCTTCAAAACTTTCGCAATATGCGACATTTTATGAAATTATTGTTAAACTAATCAAGTATGGTAATGCGACTTAAATTTACTACTGAGCAGGTGGTTGTGGCTCGCTAGGCATGTTAGGATTTGGATATGGTGATAAAAATGAATAATTCGGATAAGGCGGTGGTGGATGTGGGAATGGAGGATAATAATTAGGTGGGTGTGAAGATGGAGGTGCATAACCTCTATGGATATAAGGATCTGTTGGTGGAGGAGGACCATGAAATGCCGTATACATGCGAGCGTAATCTGTATTGTAACTCGGCCCGCCGTATGTTGGATATCCAGGAGCACCTGTATCACAAACTTTATTTCAACACACATGTATTTTGTCAATAAATAATATTATATAAGAAAATCTGAACTTACCACCTGGAGGATAAGCTGCTGAAGAAGCAGGCGTTGGAGGATAATGCTGTGTGTATGGATCATACGGTCCTGGAGGATACGGTCCAGGATAACGACTACTCGTGGGATGACTAAACGCCGTAGGTATATGCGTATCTTCTCTACTAGGAGCACTTGCAACTGTTGTAGTTGCAATCGTCTCTGTACTTTTCGTTTCTGTTGTGTTCGCTAATGTTTTGGCAGTAGTATTAGGTACTTGTGAATATGCAGGAGGCACATTCATCATTGTCCTCTCTTCTATAGGCTTTCCTAAATCTGGTTGTGGTTTAGCTGTGTCAATTGGTAATCTTGAGTTTGTTGCATGAGGTGGAACACCGGGGAAATATGTTCCATAAGGAGTAGACAACGATCGTGATCGAGGATCACTATAATCGTAATACCGAGGATATTGGGCATACGGGTAACCTTGCGGCATGTTAGGAGGTTCACTTTGTATAGACGTTTCGCGCATACTTGGTTCTACTGTTTTTGGAGATGTTATAGTATTAGTTCCAGTACAGACAGATGGAGCAGAAGAGCCAATAGTTGAGTCTGTTATACCTTTAGGAACTTCCGTGCCCCGTAACGTAGGCGTTGGTGGTACTTGCATACTTGAAGGTGAAGGCTGCTGTGATAACAACGATGATAATGGAGTCGATGGTGTCGATTGCGTTAAGACTTGTGATGGAATTTGTGGTGGTCCTTGCGATGATAACTGAGGTGGCATCTGTGATGGTATTTGTGGTTGTACTTGCGATGATATCTGAGGAGGTACCTGCTGCGATATTTGCGATGGCACTTGCGATGGTGCCTGCGGCAGTACTTGTGATGGTACCTGCGATGGTATTTGCGGTGATACTTGTGGTGGTACCTGTGGCGGTATTTGCGATGGTACTTGCGATGGTAACTGTGATGATAGTTGCGACTGCATTTGAGGCGGTACTTGCGGTGGATCTTCAATTATAATTTCATCGTTAGGCGTATCTCTTTTCTCTTGCTGAGTTTGAAAAGCATGTCCATAATTTGCTAATGTATCAGATGTTTTCGTGACTTCCTTTTCAATAGAAGGAGAACATTGTTTATCAATCTTTGATGTTAATTCCGTTTCTGTTTGATCGTGTTGTGTTTGAACTCCTTGCGCAGTTACAGAATCCGAAGAGTACACTTGGCTATTTTCCTCGGATGACTTTTGTAAAGAGCTGTCAGTATCTGAATTGGTCATGCGGTTATGACTCGAAGGGCTATAGTCTGTGTTGGAACTCACTTCCGCAACCACGTCCTCTAATCTAACTTCTTCTACCCTTTGTTCGGTTCTAACCTGACCATCCGAAGAATTGGAATTTTCTCCAAGTGCTGAATGATCTACTGGTTCCTGTTTTACTTTTGGTAACCTCGACAAGGAGACCTGGTTGGTTAAATTAACTTGACTCAAATAAGGTTTGGCAGTCGCGGTAGCCACTGGTTTTGGTCTTTTCGAAGCTTCTTTATCAGCAAATGGTCTGTAATTAGGACCACCCCCTGGTTTATTGACTGAACGAGCACTCGTTGGATTACTTGAAGATGATTTCGGTATTATAGAAATGGCTGAATTATTTCTTAGTGGAAACCCAACTTCGGGTTTAGAATTCCTCTGGACCATTGACGATACACCTATAAATATTTATTTATATTGAGATATAAATTGAAATACATTTCTGAAACTGAGAAACCATAATTTTAATAAAATTGAAATTATTTCGTTGTTAACATACCTTTTTTCGGCTCTTCGTCCCGTTTCTGTTGATTTAATTTGAGAGCCGTTCGAATAGCAATAATTTTACCAGATTCTAATTGCATATAAATACCCTTTGGACTTTTTAATACCATTACCCGCTGACCTGCTTTCAATACGATACTTCCTTTATCAGGTGAATTAGTAGGAATGACGACATCCAAAGGTAACGTCATTTCTTGTGCACTCATTCCTTGTCTCTGCCATACTTCTGCTGGTATCCATCTACTACCCGTTACGCCACGTGAACCTAAACCTTCAGCCCCGCGTTGTTGCATCGGTCTAACCGAAGCTACTGGTTTAGAAGTGGTACTGCTGTCGCCGCCTCTAATTGCCCTGATTTGTAATCCACCTGCTATAATAACACAAAAGTTCATTAAAAATCAATGAAATCAATCTAAACATAAATATGCTTAATACGCTAACATTTAGAATGAATCGTACCCCGAGTTGCAGTGTTGCCGGGCACATAGTTATAACTAGGCCTAGAACAATTAGCAGCCATTTTTTCAAGCTCGTAACCACGTCGAGCCAAACGCTTTTCGGCTTGACTAAGCTTCTTATCTTTTCTATCAACAAGAAGACTTTCATGATGAAATGGCTGCTTGGTAAGTAACGAAGAGTGTCGTTCCAATACACGATGCATGACTTCATCGGTATAACTATCCTTAGATTGAGAAAAATCTTGTACTTGACTATCCTCTTCCCAATCCCAAGATAGTGTAGTTGCTTCTTTCAACGAGAGATGAGCATCTGGATTGCACTGATCAACAACACGATCAGCCATTCCTTGTTTACTAATTTGCCTATCATATATTTTCCTTTCTAAACAATTATCGGTAACCAAACGATAAACAAAACAAGGTTTCTGTTGTCCATATCTATACACCCTACAGACAGCTTGTGTATCGTGACAAGGATTCCAGGAAGCATCAAAGACAATAGCACGATTCGCGCCAACAAGATTAATGCCGAGTGAACCGGCACGCGTTGAAACCAGAAAAAGATGAATCTTTGGATTATTGTTAAATTCATTAATAAGCTTCTCTCTTTCTAGAGCGCTAGTACTTCCATCCAGTCTATAATAATTTACATTTTTGATCCAAGCATCTGTTTGTCCATCTGGATGCTTCAAACTATTTCTAGCTAAAAAATCTTCAATGAGATTCAACGTAAACAATGATTGAGAAAATGCTAAAACACGATCGCCAAGCTTAATTGCTTCTTCCAAAATACAAAAGAAAATTGTCATTTTTGCAGATGCATCAATTAATCCTGGTACATAGGCTTTCATTAGCTCTGTTGCCTAAAAATAAAAATATTATTTAATTACTTAGAACTTAACACTGTTCGCTTGTTAATCTGTTACACTTACCCAATCATATGGAATTCCAGGATCTTCTTTCACTCCTGGAGAACTTTTACAATCCTTTTCTTCATCCTTTGTAAGAATTTCATCGTCCGATTTTTCTTCTTTATCTTTATCCAATAAATCGTCCTTATCTTTCTCTTCTTCTTTTATTAGATCATTCTGATTCAATCTTGGACTATGTATTGTGCTGATATTTTGCACAGATCTAGATCCTGGAGTCTGACAATTTGATTCAGAACTATAACCCGAACTAGTAGACAGATTACTTTGATGTATTGGTTGACTTTGAACACCAACGCTCGTTGTCATCTCTTTACTATTTTTCTCAGGTTGTCCTGAGTTTTGAATGTGAATGGTAGATTGCGGAGGTTTTGTATCATCCGAACGTGTATTAACATCTGAATTATGATTGTTACTATAATCGTAAGATTGATTTTGATAATTTTGTGATGGAAAATAATTGTTCTGATAACGATTCACATTTGGATTCACATCTCGATAATATGGATCATTACATTGATCAGTTTGAAATGGCTGAGAATAGTTTCTTTGCCAGTAAGAATCTTCTGGTCCTTTCATTTGACCCACTTGATTCTGATGCGTACTGTCTGATGGATAATTTGATAAAACAGTGTTCTGTGATTGAGATTGATTTACTGGATAATTATTTGTCGAATTAGTGTTTGAACTTCCACTTTGACGATCAGTTGAAAATTCGTGAGAAGTATTTGCTGTTGGTGTATAATTTTGTGCTTGTTGTTGATTATCTGCCCTGGGATACAGTTGGTCATTTTGACTCAATGTGGAGGTTGATGTTTGTTGATTTTGAGAATACGAAAGTGACTGATTTTGAGATTGTGGCATCTGTCCTTGTTGAGAAGTACCATATCTATGTGCTGAAGCTTGTGGCATTGATGCTGAATTTTGGTGATTAGAGCTATATGTATGGTTTGTACCTGATGGTGCTCCAGTCTGGTTCTGTACAGCAGGTGGGTATGAAGATTGATTTTGTGGTGCTGATGGAGATACAAGATGAGAGTATCCATGAATAGTATTCTGTGCATTTGAAACTGGCCCTTGTTGATCTTGGGAGTATCCATGTGTTTGAGTAGGAGCATTTGATGCTGATTGACTTGGAGAGTACGAAGATGAATTTTGTGGCATGTTCATTTGACTCTGAGCTGGTGTAGAATATCCGCGCATTTGATTTTGTGGAATCGAGGCTTGATTCGTGGGATTTGTCATATATGAATGAGACTGATTTTGTGGTATCGAATTTGAAGATTGCTGATTAAAAGCAAGAGATGTTTGTGACGAAGGATTAGAGTTCACTTGTGGTGGATAGTTGTGGGACTGATTAGGCAATGGTATATTTTGTGACTGTGAACCTGTGTAAGTATGAGAAGAATTTTGTATGGTAATATTTTGATTCTGCTGATTAGACTCAAAACCGCGACTTTGACCAGATGTTGTATTCTGTCCTGGTTGATTCGAAAGATACCCAGCAGTTGGAGTTTGAGGTGTTGAATTTTGATTTTGTTGACTCGCACCATATCCTAGGGTAGAGTTTTGTAATGGCTGGGTTTCATTTCGCGAATACATTGGATTTGTTTGTCCTGTTGCAGAATTGTAATTTTGAGTCTGATTTGGTGTATACGAAGAATAATCCGATAATGGCATATTTGGAGATTGATTTGGCAACTGTGATTGAAAGGAAGATTGATTCTGAACTTGAGGATAATTATTAGAACCCTGATTCATATTTGGTGCATAATTACGTCCATGATCTTGGTAGGTATAAGACTGACGTGAAAACATTCCAGGTACTTCATAATTGTTTCCTTGACTCTGATCCGGCCGAAAATCTGAATTAGCAGGGGTAGCTGTGTACCTTTGTGAATGATTATTGGTAGACTGCTCATTGTTTGGCATGTAATTTTGTGATTGATTAGGATAGTTTTGTGAAGTACTGTATCCTGGAGTTTGTGCATATGTTTGGAATGATTGATTTCCATACCTCTGCGAACCTTGATTATTGTAAAATTCATTGTACTCTCCCTGATTACTATCGTTTCTGTAATAGGTGGTTTGATCATTTGATCGATAATTTTGATAGCCATGAGAATATGAATTTTGCGGTACAGAATTCGGATATCCTGAATTATTCATTGACATGGGGTAATTAGAATAATTGTTCTGCTTTGAAGTGGCATGCGAGTTATCAGACTCTGCATTGTCAGCATTAGATGACGAAGAGGCATTAGGTTGTACGCTAGCAGCAGGTTTATTTTTTATAGTTGTATTCGTTTTCTTTCCTTTCTTCGATTCTCCTTTCGTCTGACGAGCTTTCGAGCGTTTACCTCCGGGAGTAGATTTTTCACCGATTGTTTCTTCTAGATCTAGATCATCCTCTTCATTAGCTTGCCTTTTCCGTAGAAAATGATATAAAATATCAGGATGATTCCAGATTTTACAACATACCGCAAAAGCTTTTAATGGATTAGGTACAGCACGTGTTTTAACTACTTGATTCATAAATGTATCATATAATTTCCGTTGATGCGGTGTCATTCTAACAAGAAGAATATATTCTTCCTTACGCGGCAAAGAAATCTGCAATACAGAATGAGATCTTCTTTGTACAAAACCCTCCAACAAAGCATGCAAAACATGTGCACGGTATCTCATTAATCTTATATCTTGTGGTGTTGAATCAATACATTGCCCATTTTGAATTGGCCTTTCAAACATGTTACAGAATTCATTTTTTGTTCCTAGATAATTAGGTCTCACAAAATCAACCATACACCAATATTCTAAGAGATTATTTTGTAATGGATAACCAGTCAACACAATTCTGCGTTTTGTGCGCATTTGTTTTAAGGCCAGACTAATACTAGCATGAGAATTTTTTATTCTATGACCTTCGTCACATATAACTAAATCAGGTCCTGGATTAACCAGAGCTGAATGCATTTCATCTAATAGTCCCTTATTTTTGTCTTCTTCCTCGACATCAACGGTGTCCTTAAAAGGCTGTCCGCGCTTTCTTTTTGCTTTGTGTGGTTTTTTCAGAGATAACTGTCTATACAATTCATATCCAATTAATAAAACACCGCCTCCTACTTGCCAATCTTGGATTACTCTGGCTCTTGCTGTCATAGTTTTATGAGAATCATTTAAAATATGTAAACGAAAATGTCGTGGCCTTACTTCCATACCTATCGGAGCATCTACACTGTATGGGGTTTTAACTTTTTCAACTTCTTTTTTCTCTTCATTTACTACCTCCTCCTTTGTTGTGCAAGTACCTTCCTCTTTTTTTATCGTTTCTTCTGGTTCTTTTTTTACATTTATTTCTGATGGATTCAAAGGAGTTGCAGTATTTTTAAAACATTCTTTTTTCGATTCGAAATCTGTTTCTTGCATTGGTCGATTTGCATAATTAGGGAAGGTATTGGTAGAATTATCATAATTTTGATACACTGATTCATGGTGATTTTCTGCCCCATGATACATAGTATTGGTATTTCGCGACTCCATACCTGGGTATACAGGAGCCTGTGGCCTGCTTTCCAAACCAGGATACATATTGCCAGAATTCTGATTTTCTACTCCAAACTTCGTTTCCGGTAGATTGGATCTCTGGTGCATACCATGACAATTTACTTCTGATTTCATCGAGTCGAAATTGGTAATTGAATTAGGATTTGTATTATATAATGTATTTTGCGCAAGATCATTCTGATAGTTTTCATTCATATGTACTTGTGAATCTGGCATATTTTTATTCAACATATTATCTTGCACGTAACCAGGCATTACATTGTGAGTTTCATATCCTTGATGGGCATAAGGATTTTCTGGCATGATGTTCATAGATTGAGATGTACTTTCTTGCCCGAAACGATGAGCTGACTCCGTACTAATAGGCCTTGATATATTCGACATATTCGACATATTTGATACATCACTCTGATTCATATATTCATCTTTAATTTCTTGTTTAAGTTCTACACCAGATTCTGATTTAACACTTGAGCCCTTGTTAAGTTTTTCTGGGGCATTTGGATCCTCGTATGGTAACCACATATTAAATTCCGCTAACCAATTTTGTAAAGTATTAATAGGCATAATACAAAGAACTGTTTTAGCTGTAGTACATCGAAAAAAAATATCACAAAAGCTAGCAACTTGTAAAGTTTTTCCTAAACCCATACTATGAGCTAGAATACAACCAAATCCAGAACTAGTTTTGTATCTTTCAATACTTTCAACAATATTGTCAAAAAGAAAGCGAATACCACCAATTTGATGAGGTTTAATAATACGAGCTACCTGTGGAGCTAAATATACATCAGGTTCAGTTTCAGGATGACCCACATTAATTAACACTCTACCATGTTCATCTGGAATGTTATATCTATCATTCGTATGCATGCCGGAGTTGGATGGATCATCTTCGTTGTCTGTTTCTTCTTCTCCACTTGGATCACTTAAAACTATGCAATCATCATCCGAACTTTCGCTAGAGCTAGATATTGTAACCACGTCTTTGCCTTTAGCTGATTTCTGGGACTTTGGTCCAGCTGACATTTTTTTAGCGGTATGCATTTGTTTCTCCCGCAAAGCTTCTTCAGCTTCTATGTCAGAAATTTCGGAATCTGAGTAATATTCAGATCTATCCAATGGTTCCTTCTTAGGGACCACGGGTGATATGCTCACGGAAGGAGTCATCATTCGGATTCTTTGTTGTAACATATTAGGACCAATAGGACGGCTTGGAACTCTAGAAATTGATGTCTGTGCCCCTTGGTAAGCACCTCTACCTTTTTGCCAACGAGATCGTTCTACCGATCTTTGTATTTGACTTGCTTGCATATTAGAAGTGGTTTGAGATACAGTCCCAGATCCAGAATTTACTTTAAGAAGCACTGTATTTGGTAAACGAACTGGTGCAGATGGAGATGACGACGAAGATGATTGTGAAATAATAGTACCTGCTTGATTTTGTTTTCCTTGTAAAAGACTGATTACCCTTGTTTGCGTTTTATTATTTTGTCTATTTATTGCAATCTGTCTTTGTACTTCGCGAATAATTCTTTGCTGCTCCTGTACTCGTCGAAGACGTTCCATTTCTTGCCTCTGAGCTGACAGAGTGGCTTCATCAAGCTGAGTTTCATCCATAACTTCTCTAATATTTCTTCTCATGTTTGCTAACTTCTTTTCTGCCTTTGTTTCACATTCTGAAGCAGATCCATCATTTCCATCATCTTTTTTCTGCTTCTTTTTAGCTGAATCAGAATGTTCTGAATCAGCATGCCTCTTGTTACTTTCCACATTTTCTTCTTCCATAGAATGACCTTCGTGTTTGTCATTTTCATGTCCTATGCTCCCTTCGTCATCTGTGTCCTTTGAAATTGGTTTTCCAAGTAAATCTGCTTCTGACACTTCCTGGCCCTCTATTGGAGCTCCTTTTGTCACAGTTAAAAATTGTTTTAATAATATACCATCGCATAACTTTTATGAAAAAATAATATTATACTAACCTTCCAATGGCAAAGTATCCAAAATGTTAACTGGTTCATCGTCATCCTCTTCAGGTTGAGAATGATGCTGATGTTCTGATTCCACTCTTACTCCAATTTGTGAATCAATTGTTTCATCCAAATCCATATCGTCCCCTGATCCTTCAGACCGTATTTCTTCTATTTCTTCCGATTGTAATGCATCATTTTTCTTTTCATGCTCTCCATCAGATGTTTCACCACTAGATTCCTCTGAACTTTCATCATTTCCTGTTTGAGGTTCTACATTGTTCATACTTGTATTTGTTGAAGTTTCATTAGACATCATTGTTTCATTAGGCTTAGAGCCTGAACGAGGAGTCACACGTTCTATAGTGACATCCCCAATACGTGTTAAAAAACTGTCCAAACTATTTGACATGATGTGCAAAGTTCATTAAGTCACAGTGTGTTTTATTGAAATTTTGTATGAAATCATGGAATGTCTTGACACTTTTTTTCATAACACTAGCAATTAAATTATTTTATATATCACTTATATTATTTATCCTTAATTTTATGTTCTTTAATGCCTGTAATAAGAAATGTATTCCTTTATATGCTTAGTTTGAAAGAAATTACTAAAATCTCTCACATTGACAAATATACTCTATAGAAATTAAAAAACTATAAAAAAATATAAGATAATAAAAATTAAACATGATTGTTAGAAATATAAAATAAACAACATGAAATGAAAATATTGCACTGCATAGATGTATATAATATAAATAAAATTTTATGATTTATTTAATTTTTAGTGTAAAAACGTAACGTACAATTTTAAATGGGTAAAAATTTACTGTACAATCATGGAATACATTGCTATATCACATACAATTATCTTAAATGATATAGTTGTGCAATAGTAAATCTCACACAAAAGTAACATCTACAAAACAAAATTTACTTTGTTACATATAAAGTAAAACAAATAAACATTCAATAATGTTAAGATTAAAATATCTAAATATCAAAATAGAAATGAATTATTGTAAACTTATATTTAGGAATGTTTACATAGAAGACTGCATGCGTTGACATATTATTAGAGTGTGTATAGATTTAAAAACAAGGTATTTCTAAATAGTATAGAAATTATAAATTACTCTAAGACACTTGTAATTAAACACACTTGTTGAGAGATCAGCTTAGTCACATTCTTAAGCTGACGGGCAAACTCGAACGGCAACGACTTAGACCATACTGTTAAATGAAAGGGTTATAGCAAAGGTACAACTTGGTTTCTGACAACGTAACTGACCAAGTAGTGACAAGATATTCATAATGTTCCAAGTTATTCAGAATAGGAACTGTCAAACAGAGAGATTAAAAGCAACCCAGAATGTTTGTTTTTGGACGAGCCGATCCGGCTCAATGATTAACACTAGGAAGTCGTCTAGTTTTGTAACCGGCGTCAATTCAAATCTTACACAAGTTTGATTTTACTTGTAATCCGCGTTTACGACTGCTTAATTAGCTGTTAATTGCGGATTAAAAATAATGACACACACATACACACGTCCGATGGACGCCATAGCGTCGTTCGCCGCTCAACGAACACGGTTCTCCGCAATGTCCGAAGATCAGCGAACAAGCCTTGTCACTCGGGTTAATGTACGCATCATTTTCATCTCGCCACCTAATTTTCTTTTCACCTAAAATGCATGATGGAGTGACGAAGATTCACTGGATCACTAAAACTTCACTTAAGTCCGCACGCGTTACTCTCAAGCTTTCCGCGGCATTTTTTTTCACACGCTTTTTCTAACAAGTATATTCCACTCGGTGGAACGCCATCTTAGCTGCGCTATAAAATACATCCGCTGACAAGTGCGAGTGCGATGGAACGACATCCCGACTTTATTTTACATTTTCTTTTTATGCCTTTGATTACTAATTTCAATCAATATTTTTTGTAATTTAAAGTAATTCAGTTCAAACGGATGATCGTAAAATTATATCGAATAATTTCTGTGCTTAGATCTATATTCAAGTTTATTGTTCAAATATTATATTAAAAATATTATTTGGTACTACATATACATAAAATACATTTTAATTCATGATAAATATTTTAAATTAGTAACATGAATATATTTATATAGGAAATTATACTATAAACTATTTTATTCATGTCATTGTATCACAATAACAGTTTATACATTGTATAATCAAAACATACAGTACATATAAAACATTACATGTTTTCTTTTTTTATGTATATAAGTAGTTTCATTAATTGTCATTATCTTTAAAGATATTCACATACTTAATAAGTACAATAGATAATACATATATAAATATGATTATATGAATATCATATGACTAAACTTAGTGCAATACATAATGTAATAGGATGTTTAATAAATTCCATTACTCTAAACATATGTGTATACATGTGTATACGTGTCTTTCATTGATAAAATAGATAGTGCAAACTAACTATTCATACATTGCACAGAATTTGATATTAACTTATATTGTACAATGTTGACAATTTGGTGAAGGAAACAAAGTTTGTTAGCATTGAAGTAATCAAATTTAGTGATAATAAACTTCAATTTGCATTTTCACATGCATCAATCCAATCATTATACACATCCAAAGGTTCTGAAAGTAAATTAATTGTAGTTTGAAAGTCTTCCAAACAGACTCTACAAGTAATTCTTGCTGTATTTCTTGATTTATCCCTGCAAATGAAAACAGAAAGTAATAAAATACAAAATTCAAATATTTTAAGAATCGGCGGCAAATTTGTTGTACCCACATCTTAACCTCACATGATTTTTCATGATTGCAAAATGGACAATTAAATTGTGTATCTAATGGTTGAATAGCTTTCTTTTTACTTGGAGGTTTTCGCTTACTTTTTCTTCGGCCCATTACGTTTTAGGTATATTAAGTTATGTGTTTTTATGAAAATGTCTTCAGTTAGAAAAACCTCGTATCCCAAGCTTTATATCATATGTATGTATGTACAATATATATAGTACTATTTACGATGCAAACTGTTGCGTATATGTATGTACTATATACATACTTACATTAATCAACCGAATAAAGCATATATGTGAGTCATGAAAGAAAGTTACTAGAATTATGAGCACATGTCTAAAATTTGTTATAAAACATTGAATGTTTATGAAGTTACGATTTACCTTATTATATTAATCTAAGTACTAAATTAAAGTATTTAATTTGAACTTTAGGGTTGGTGACTGTAATATTATTGATATCTAATTAATATATTATATATATACTTACTTGATAACTATAGCTGTATCCTGTATCAACACGTGCAAAATGATGTAAATATTTATGAATTAATAGGTATATTGTTACTGTTATGACAACAGCACAGGAAATATATTGATGTGAATTAATTAAGAGATCATTATTGTAATGTCATGAGTACTTTAAGTGTGTATCCTTTGAGGAAAAAAGTAATTTTATATTTTATTTTGTAAAATTGTTGATAAGACATTATGTAAATAACCTTAATATTGAACAGAAATTTGTCTATACCTTTCCCATCAGCAAGAGAAGCAGAAATTGCTTATCAAGTACTTAGAGTTGATCAAGAGCCTTCAAGAGGTGGTAGTACCAAAGATTTGACATTAAAAAATAATATTTTACAAGTGTAAGTTTGCATCTATTTTTGTAATCTTCTATTAGATATATTCGGTTGTTTTAATAAAATATGTCTTCTTATAGATTAATATCCGGAACTGAGGCTCGAAAGGTCAGAGTGGCATTAACATCATTTTTTGATAGTTTAATTTTAGTAACAGAAACTATGCAGCAGTTTGGACCACCTGAATCAAGTTTTAATTATTATTAAGTAAATTGTTTTTCAAATTATTTTAAAATATTCCATAGAATGGAGCATACTCCTGCTCCATATGGACCAAGATCAGTCTATGGATATGCTTTATACATAGGTTCTAATATGCTTTTTTTTTTGTTTTTGGTATGGGCTGTAATACCTGATGAAATTTTATATAACTTAGGTTTAACATATTGGCCATCCAAATATTGGGCTGTAGCAATTCCAGTTTGGGCCTTAACTGCTCTTGCTACATTTGCATTTATTGTTTACCCAGCTATCAATTTATCAATGACTCCAGATATAGATGATATTAGAACTATTACAGACAAACATTCACGTGATAAAAAAGAAACTGTCCCAAGTGGTATACCTCCTGTTTTTGATATTCCTATAACAGAGGTTTGCAGAAAATTATACTTACCAAAGAAAAAGTAACAATGAATTCTATCAAAATTTATATTAAATATTGTAATAATTATAAATAGATTTCTAATGATGTAATACAAGTGTAAAAAGTATATTTTGATAGTGGAATATTATATGTTTATTAAAAAAGGTAATACATATTTATTATACATATATTTTAATAACTCTCCTATTCTTATATTACATTCTTATTTATCTAGGAATATTTTTGGAAACTATAATATTATGTTGAATTAGTCAAGTATTTCACATATTGCGCAATCAGATAACGAGAATCTTATATAGTTCGAGAGAATGAGGAAAAAATGTATAGTTGTTAAACGTGCTTTCTGCAGCTACATGATGAGAAAATCTAATTTGAAGAATGGAATACACCAAAAATTTGCCAATAATAATGAAAGCGATAATGTTGCAAATTATTTCGGACTCCGAAACACTGGCCACGAAGCCATTGATTTAAGGAAAAAATTAAAATCTTTAATCGACACAAATACTGTTTTTTGTAGTTTTGAATTATTATCTTTAAAAAATGATGATTTTTACCAAAGGTTCGTATGTTACGCACTGCATAACATGTAATATATTTATATCTTTTTTGATATCAAAATTTCGTTTATTAGTTTCTTTACAGAAATGAATAAATATCATCCTCTTTTTTATGCATTGACATCACATACAAAGAATAAGACCAAACATTATGAGTTTTTAAAATTAACTGATACATTTCCAAATAATGTGCTTCTCCACCTTATTGCGAATAATTTAACTCGGACAGATGCAAAAAGTATTCTAGAGGAAGCTCTGAAATGTGGTATACGCAATGTTTTTGCGTTGCGAGGAGGTAAAGAAATATTTTTAAAAAATGATCTATGATTAAAGCATTACTTTATAAACTCCAAAAATATAAATTTCAGACTCCATAACTGCAAGCAGTGATTTTCCACATGCCGTTGACTTAGTGCGTTTTATAAAAAGTCAGTTTGGCGATACATTTTGTATATGTGTTGCCGGTTATCCGGAAATTCATCCAGAGTCCCCATCTAAAGAACTGGATTTGTTTTATTTAAAAGAAAAAGTAGTTATTTGAATTAAATTTTGTTATCAGTTTATATATTTATAATAAGTATATACATATATTAATGCTGATTTTATCCAAAGGTTAACGCGGGGGCTGATTTTATAATAACTCAGATTTGCTTTGAAGCAAACATTTTTATTAAGTTCGCTAATGATTGTAAAGAAGTTGGAATCAACGTCCCGATTATTCCCGGAATTTATCCGATTCATAACTATTCGTGCCTTGAAAAAATAGCAAATGTTTGTAATATTAAAATACCACAGAATATTTTAGATTCTTTACAATCTATAAAAGATGATGACAATAAAGTACGCAATTATGGAATAGGATTATCAACAAACATTATTGAAGACATCATTGCAAGTGGAACTACTTGTGGTTTTCATTTATTTACATTAAACAGGTAAAGATTAGTTTTATTATTAGAGAACTACTTATACCATTCATCTATTTATTTGGTATATGTTTGTTAATTATAGAACATCATTGATATCGGAAATATGTAACGAGTTGGATATTTTTCATTGACTGTCCTAGGATAGAGGAGATTTAATTAATAAACGAACAAATAACATTTGTAGTAAAAAGTACTGCACAACATTCAAACCCTATCATACTACGCGCCAAATCAAGCATTAATTGCCAACCATTGAAATTCCCTACTGTTCCCTACGTGGAATAAAAATGGTAAAACGTATAATTCATGATGCGAAAATGATGGACGTTTATTGAGAATTTGTTATACATTTTAAGTATTATTTACATCGATATGACTGGATGTTATATTTTTGATTTCCTAAAGTATTTATCATTAACTATAATATTTCTTATGAACGTAATCTGGCAGGTTTATGGTTACAGATGATCCTTCGAGGATACTTGCAATTGTGCGCATGCGTTTAAGAAATATCCATGACGAACGAAAAGAGGAGTTAGTTGAGCTGGGCGCCAGAGCTCCGCGTGGTCAGTTGGTTAGTCGGCGTGACGGTAACAAGAAAAGAGGAAGGGTCCATAAGGCAGGATATATAGAACAATGGCACTCTTCCGTTTCAGCCCCAAACGTTGTTTGGAAGTTCAGGTGCGTGGCAAATGAAATTTATCAAAACTTGGTTAACCTTGGTGCACAATATGATATTTGAATGATTCTTAAACATGTCCACGTTGTTCCGGTGCGAAATTCGAACGGCAAGCAGGTGTTTAACGTGTATTAGTAATTTCCACAAATACAACAACGTATTTTCATCAAATAATTACCCGAGAACAACTACATTTTATCATTTATCTATTTTAAAGCGCCGGAACTTTGCACATCACCAAGAGCAAAGACGCTGTGGTTCTAGATACAAAGTAGGCGTTCTATCGACCGATAGCCTGCTCACTATTTTATAACACGATCAAGTTTGTCGGTATACAAATTCAAAAATCCGTAACTAATTGTGAATATTAACGATATTTGAGAACGATATAAAATCATATTTGTTAATCAGACAAACAAAATATTGCTGTTTAATATTCATAAATTGAACGTTCTCTGACGTACAGAGTGTATGCTCAGAAACACCTTTGCGAAGCTCTAACAATGCACATTATTTCGGAGTAGCACCTCTAACACAAGGGCATGCTAAATTAATTTGCCAAGTATAATACTCATATAAAATACATAGAAAATATTCCATACATACATTTTACTCGAGTTTTCCATATTTACATCAAATTTTGTATATCGATCCGATAAAAGATTTACCTGACCGATAAGTCTTAGCGTTAATTTAGTTAAGTTTAATAGTAGTTACGTAATAAATTTTTCGAATACGATTATCTATAGTAAAAGAAAAACTAAACGACAAGAATTATTTAACTGTTATGTTTAATAATAACACGTGGAAAAATAGAATTTTTCAATTTCTTTTTTTTTTTACGTGTGTTATCCTTTTAGCGTTTATTGACACGAGTATACACAACTATATTTATACCGTGAAACAAATTGTAGACGTACATACACTTCAAACAGATGAAACGTATGAATTTAACAACGCGTATAAAATCACCTCTACTTTTAGCTTAACATATTCAAAACATGGAATTTCCAATTACCATGTAAGGAGATGGGATGTGAGTTGGTGTCATCAATTTAAGAAAATCAAGAAGTTAATTTTGCAGGAAATCAAGTTGTCTATAGATCTCATAGCGGTTTACAGTGGATCCTTTACTATCACTGATATCATAAATCATATGGCCACGAACACAGGCTTCTAGGTCACGAGCGTAAGTCGTGTATGCGAAATGCTCGAGGATCTCCTTCATCGACACACATGCCCATTGAAGAGTTCGCGACGCTACTATTTCGCAAGGTGCAATAATTTTAGAACAAATTCGAGGTCAAAATCTGTTCTGCCCGCTTGATCTACATCGGTCGTGACCTATTCCCTGCTAACACCTGCTTACCGATCGAACTTTGAATTTGTTCGTACGACTTTCACTCGACGTACTGTATCCTGATCAATTCTTTACTTTTGTCTGCGTATGCTTGATAGTATGCTCTTCTTATCTGTTCATTATGTTTACTCGAACATTTTAAACATTTGAAAAAAACAATGTCAATTGTATCTTTACTCTTATAGTTTTGTAAAGAACAATAGGCATATCAAGGTCAATATGTTTCACCTAATTAAAAATATTGATATACATAATTACAAAGGATTGTTTAATGCCTATTTGAATTTTTCGATGGGAAGCATTTTGTACAAAGTCTGCTGTATATCTATTGGTACTTTTGGCAGATTTGGAAACTTATCGCTTAACTTATAGATGTCTCACCGATTACCTAATATCGTTCATATGTATACATGTGACCTTCGGATCGCATAACGTGTTACCTCAGGACGTCTCTCTTTATTTCTCTTACATATATATAATGAACGTATTGACGTCGTTTATTATTAACATTTGCTTGATTCGAATCGAGCTAACATTTCTTCATGTAGCCAAAATCTTCATTTAGATTTTCGAGCGTTTGTTTACTGAGGAATCTATTGTTAAAATGTTTAACTATAAATAGATTGAACAGTCGATGCTGTTGTAATTATTTTTCAAACTTTCGTTATAAATAAATGACATTTGCTTCAGTTTCTGATTAAAACGCTCCTGGCCAGTTTATTATTAACACTTTGATATCACATTTTGTGATATTCTTGATATCTAACTTTTTATATTAGCATTCTTTGTTTCCTTTAATCGTATCGTATATACTTATTACATTTTGGAAACTGGTCATTTTCTGGTGTACATTATACAAAGTCTGAAATATGCTTTTCCTAGTAATTTAGTTTACTCGATTCTTTCACGCTTTTATTAGCGAATAGGTATGTAAATCATATTTACTAATCTTATTTTTTGAAACAGGAATTTATGGCTTTGAATGTAGAAACGTGTAGATAATGATCATCGAGGGTCACCCTCTTCGGTCATTTTAGCGCCATTTGACGATTATACGGCGCGAAACCAATTAGATAATTGTAGTTCGCGGGTGTCTTCTATCTGGTAATGCCCTTCAAATGCTAGCTGGTTATGTAATCGGAGATAACCAGTGCCATCGAGCTTTATGTTTAATATAACGAACAATTAACGAATTCTAATTCAATCCAGATCAATTTTCGTACCTTAAGATTATTTTATTTTTACTAGTTATTTTTATTTTGTTATTCAAGCAACCTTATCGATAGATAAAGCGTTTCACGCGTTGAACATTTGGCATATCTTATTCAGAATTAATCATATCATTGTCAGATATGGGTTCTCTTTTAACAGAACACTTTCCTCCTGAACGCAATGCAAAGAATTAAATTAAACACATAAAAATTGTCCGGTTCTCTGGCAATCGTTAAAGCTGATAAACCCGCCCATTGTACAAACACCACTCCCATTAATGTAATAACTCATTTCCTCTAATTTCGACGTCGATATAAAACGCTATCAAAAGTGAAAATTTGTTAGCAAATAGGATTGAAGATCGCTCCCAATAAATTGATGTAGCAAAGAAATGATGTCTATCTCCATTCGATCAGGAAAAGAAATAAGGACAAAGATCTTCGTTTCGCTGAAACTTGCACACGCATCGAAATCACTGCATTTTTATTTCCCACACTTTTAACCTGTCCTAATAGGAAAATTCATGGCACGTGACGCGATTGTGGTTTCTCGTGGAAAGCCCCGAGTCCACAGGGACTTCCGGTGAAAGGAAAGTCACCCGAGATTAACAGACGGTTTTCTGAACTGACACGTCTAGAATTAAGACAAAGGATAGAATAAGACGTTTTTGTCGAAATATCAATAAGAAACTAAGTTGTAATCGCGATAATGTAGTAATGAGTAACTCGATTGACCTAATGCACACGAATAACGTGGGACCGTTGACGCGTGTACCCAAAGTTCAATGATAAAATGTTGTAACGATAGAGAATCGCATTGACGTTTGTTTAACGCTATATACCCACGCGTTGTGGGAACTTTTTCGTTACAAGTACTCGCACGGTTCAATGCATTTTGTTTCTTGAAATTTTCATGACAATGAACTTTTTGTTTTAATCAGTCAACGAATGCATTGAAATCGATGAGCATGCATAATAGCGTTCAGATCCGTAGAAATTATGCAATCGTTATCTCTATTATTCATAGAAGATAGATTGTATTCGATGGTGCATTCTTTTAACTGCACCGAATTGCAAACGAGAGAGAATGCATAATTTTACCGGGACAAAAGATGGAGCTGTATCAGTGAAAGACACATTTTAATTAAAATTACTAGTACAAAAGGAAAGAAAAATTTGCAAGTATGAACACGTAAGAAGATAATCTGTTTATTACGTCATAGCTAGCACACTGATTAAAAATTTCATTAATCCTCTAATTTTATTATTCCTTTCACGCACGTGATAACACTTGGAATGACAATTTATATCCGACGAATTAAGCACAGGTGATAATTTTACTGTCGGAACGATATCTGATATTTTGTATCACCTGCGTAAATGGTAATGATAATGACAATGTGGGACGAGCTTTGCCACATAATCCGTGACGGTAAATTTAATTGCATTCGCGTCACTGGTACCATCTCCACTGTAAATCCAACGAGACAAACGTATAAATCAACGTCATATTTCTTTTTCGTTAAAACGATAAGTACGAAGATATACGTTGCTCACTACCTTCGTAGCGTCGATTTTTGTCACAGCGAATTTATCAGTACATACTCGAGCCGCGAGAAAGTCATCAAATGCCATGAATCGAATTACCAAAGGCAAAGTATCGCGTGCTTCTTATTGAGTTCAATGATGTTAAAGGATTCGATACGTTCGATCGAGTTATGCGTTATTTAAGCTTTACCTAGCGGCTAGGGTAAAGCAAGCTTCGTATAACTAATCAATACGACATTTTATCTACATTCGTAATGCGGAATTGTCAAACAATTTTGATCGTATCGCGTAATCAACAATTCACTGTTAAGGCTCAATCTGTTTGTTCTTGAATCAGTGGTTTTGACAACGTGAATAGTCGTACTTCGAGATTGTTACATAAACACGGTTTT